CTTATTCTCTTTATACCCTGTTTCCTACTTTGAACACAGTCAATAACATGGCCCAGAAAATTAGAAGACAGTCCTATTTCTGGGACCATGATAAATATATTACATCTTTATAGCTGTGGTTGAGCTGTTAGAATTGCAGTCCTGGCTGGAGCTAAATTATACTTTAATCATTGCCTAAGAATTTATTTTAGTCAAATGAAATCCTAAAGTGAATTTTTTCATGTTAGCTTTTCTCTAGGGTTTTAATACTTTATACCTGAACAAGAATTGGCTCTTTATATTTTAAGATCTTAGATATATTTGTACCAACTAAAAGAATAGCTTCTTGCAGAGGCAATAGCAATTTAACTCTCAAATACTGTTAATTTTAGTGGGAAACAAACTGAGATCCCTGGGATAGAAATTTCCCTTTCCAGTCTTAATTCTGTTCCCTGATATGTTGGACATGACTTGTCATTGATGATGTATTGTATGCCAGAAGTATGCCAGATATATTTTGATAATGCAAAAGTAAGTTGGTATTAGATGAGCTTGTTTAGTTTTTATGATAAATTAAGTTTTGTAAATGTGATTTGATTTTATAAATAAATTTTATACTGGAGGATGCAGAAGCAATGTCTAAATGAGACCCTAAAAATATGCCCTTACGAAGGCAGAACATTGCTAGATGGTCCCTATCAGTTTGGTTTTCTGGATTATTTAGATCACCGCTCTTCAATAGAACTTTTAATGATGATGGAAATGGTCTATAATCTTTGCCATCTGGTACATCACTAGGCATATGTTGCTATTTTGGCTTGAAATGTGGCTAATGTGACTGAGGTACTGAGTTTTTAATTTAGTTCATTGAAATCTAATTAGTCACACATGCAACAACACAAATATGGATTATCTTGGTTAGGGACAAGAAAAACAAGTGTTTTTAATCCAGCAGTCAAAGTTCTAATCCACTTTGAGATCTCTAAAAGCTCTGTTTCCATAGCAGTAACAAATAGAATAAGATCAGAAAAAATCAATGGAGGAAATAAGAGTGCAAAGAGAACCAAGATGTTGGCATAGGTAAACACCTTACTTGCTGCCTCCCACAACCACATCAAAATTACAACTAAAATACAGAACAGCTATCATCCAGAACCGGAAAACTGGCTGAATGGAAGTACTACAACTAGAGAAGTAAAGAAGAAAGCACACTGAGACAGGTAGGAGATGCGGAACGGGCTGGTCTGGCACCCAAGTGTGTGGCTTTTTAATTAGGAGGGAGATTGCGGAGACCACCAGGAGCAGCAAGGGGTCCCAGCCCCACACCAGACTCCCAGCCCAGGGTTCCAGAGCTGGGGAAAGATGTACCTGTGGGCAGTAAGAACTACGGACTGTAAAAACGAGTGCAGATTGAGCGGAGTGACACACAGGCTGCTGGAGACCCAGCTGCTCCTCTTAAAAGGCCAGCACCACGAACTGAATTTATAAACTCATACTTCCTCTGAGATCCAGTGCCAGGCAAGACTCTAGGGGACCCAGACACATATGGGGAGCAACTGGACTGTCTGGCATCTGTGCAGGAAATTGGGGCAGCTTTCTTCCAGACGGAGGTGCTCGCAGCAGTCATTGTTCCTGTGCTGAGCCCTCCCTGGTGCAGGGCTGACTGGCAGCCATTTCTGTTTGCTACACCCCGTGATTCCCTGAGACCCCGCCCCACCCAGTTTGCAACCCCACCCAAGCTGTGCTCCGCGGCTTTTGCATATGAATGGTCTTTCCTTTCTCAGGCTAAAACTGTCTAGCTGCAGCTGGTTCAGGGAGCCCCAAATCTATCAATAAAAGGCCCAAGGCCACACCAACACCAGCCTGCCTTGTTTCACGGTTGGGCCTCGTCTGGGCACCTCCAAACCCCATACAAAGAAGAGGAATCTGCAGATTTCTCTGTAGCTCCTGCTGGGCGGCCCCAGGCAGTGGCAACTTTGCACCTCCCTGGAGAACCAAGAGCCAGTGTACCCAGTGGTCAGTGTGAGACCATACCAGATTACAACTCTTCACATCCATAAGTGACACACTCAAGGGCCAGACACAGTGAGCACCAAAGCCCCACTGAAGCAAGTCCTCCTCCATAAGGATGTCTCCTGCACAGCAGTTCTCTACTGTAGTTGCAGCTGGTCTCCATAGCCAATTGGCCTGGAGGTCAATTCCTCCCAGTAACACCAACAGCAATCAAGGCTCAACTACAACAAAACTGTACACAAAGTCCAGAGTGTCCACTTCAGGTAATTGGGGAGGCTGAGCCCCTGTCCCCTATAGGACACCTACTACACAAGGCCACTCTATCAACTCAAGGAGACTTAGCAGCTACCCAATACATAGAAACAAACACAGGGAATCAGCCAAAATGTGGAGACAAAGAAACATGTCACAAATGAAAGAAATGGAGGAAAGCAAACTACTGGATATAGAGTTCAAAACCTCAGTTATAAGGCTCCTCAAGAATCTTCTAGAAACCTCCAAGGAACTTAGTGCGATTTTCAAGGATATTAATAAGAATGCCAAAAAATGGAAAAGGACCAGTCAGAAATTAAACATACACTAACTCAAATAAAAAATAATATACAGAGATCCAACAGCAGACTAGAGGATCCCAAGAATCAAGTCAAAGATTTGGAATACGAAGAAGCAAAAAACACCCAACCAGAAAAGCAAAAGGAAAAAATAATACAAAAATATGAAGATAGTGCAAGGAGCCTCTGGGACAACTTCAAGCCTACCAATATCCAAATTATGGGGTTCCAGAAGAAGAGAGAGAGCAAGATATTGAAAACCTATTTGAAGAAATAATGACAGGAAACTTCCCCTACCTGGTGAAAGAAGTAGACTTACAAGTCTAGGATGTGCAGAGAACCCCAAACAAGAGTAATCCAAAGAGGACCACACCAAGACACATCATAATTAAAATGCCAAGAGCAAAAGACAAAGAGAGAGTCTTAAAAGCAGCAAGTGAAAAACAGTTAGTTACCTACAAGGGAGTGCCCATACTACTGTCAGCTGATTTCTCAATAGAAACTATGCAGGCCTGAAGGGAGTAGCAAGAAATACTCCAAGTGATGAATACCAAGAACCTACAACCAAGATTACTTTACCTGGCAAAGTTATCATTTAGAATTGAAGGTCAGATAAAGAGCTTCACAGATAAGAAAAATCTAAAGGAGTTCATCACCACCAAACCAGTATTATGAAATGCTGAAGGGTATTCTTTAAGAAGAGGAAGAAGAAAAAGATAAAAAAAAATATGAATAACAAAGTGACAACAAATACATATCTATCAACAATTGATTCTAAAAATCAAATGAATAAAAAATCTGATAAACAGAATAGACTGGTGGTTGGAATAGAATCGGGCATGGAAATGGAACAGACTGACGATTCTCAGAGGGAAGAGGGTGTGGGCGGGGGTGTGGGAAGAGATTAGCAAAGATCTTATATGTATGTATGCAGTACCTATGGACACAGACAATAGGGTGGCAAGGGTCTGGGGTGGGGTGTGAACCAGGTGGAGAGGAGCTACAGGGGGGAAAAAAAGAGGGACATCTGTAATAATCTCAACAATAAAGATTAATAAACAAAAAAAAGAAAAAATAAGAGTGCAAAGGTGTTAACAGATTTTTATAAAGTAGTCTTAATATTTATTTGATTAGGAAATTGGGAATGCCATAGAAGTGTGATATAGGTCAAAATAGAAAATGAAACAAAATAGTATATTTGATTTTTATTTTATTATAGTTGACATTCAATATTTATTTTATATTAGTTTCAGGTGTACAGTATAGTGGTTAGACATTTACACAAGTTACACAGCAATCCTACAATACCATACATAGGTAGATATTACAGTACAGGGGATGGCAAAGGTAGGTTTATAGTTTCTATGGGTAAACATACAATAATTAATAATACAAGAGTAAACTGTTTCAGGTACTCACAACTGTAAACCTACTCTTGCCCCACTTTGTATTATTTACTATATTCCCTGTGCTATACTTGACAGGAGTTGATGTCAGGTTGAGTTTTAAAACGAATAAATAGTCATTTGCTAGTTGAACAGGCAAGAAATGGTTAATGTAAAAGCCTGAAGACATGAAATAACTTGCTGTATGAACTATGAATTTTTATATTGCTAGGTCATAAAGTACGGATGAGACTGGACAGAGTAGATCAAGAAGGGCCTTATATATGTAATTGTAAGGATTTGGGTTCTAAAGTGATGGGAAGTTAGTTAAGAGGAATTGGGCAAGGAAAAGCTGTGAGAAATTACAATGTCAAGCTACTTAATATTTTAGTTTTATTATGGTCAACCTTGCCTCATTTTGATAAGTAGTTAAATGACATTTGATAATACAGAGCCGTGGTGCTTACCTTTTTTTTTCAAATCTTGACAAATACAAGAAACACCTCACATTTCTGTCACCATGACAGTGAGTCTCATGAGGGAACAAACCTCCTTAGCCAGGAATTCACTCACTGAGTGATAACTATTACTTGTTGGCAGTGTCTTCTCACACTTCAGCTTTAAATACCACACCCTAAACTTTTGGTAAAGAAGTTAAATAATATATAAATTAGGACTTAAATATTCTAGAAACAAACTTATATAAAGATATCTTTCTATGTTATGTCAAACCATATGAAATTGCTATTTTATGAGCTACAAAACTTTTTATATAGTCTAACCAATACATTTCATAATCTATGTTTTTAATAATGGCTTCCTAGTTTATTTGCTTTTGAGGGTGGAGTAACATCTATTGTCTTTTATAATGTATATTAACAGTATATATAATTTCATTTCTTAAACTTTAAGTGTTGGAAACATCTATAAATTTAGATTGAGTGTCTGAAAACAAAATTTGAAGAAAATCTTATTTCTTTAGAAAGTATAGGTCTTGTTTTTGTCTAGACTATGAGAGGGTTTGTCAAGTGAAGGCACACAGTAAATGATTGCTTATGGCTTCTTCTGTCAGCTTTTAGTTTGGATGCTGAACAGCCTGACTATGATTTGGATTCTGAAGATGAAGTATTCGTGAATAAACTGAAAAAGAAAATGGACATCTGCCCATTGCAGTTTGAGGAGATGATTGACCGTCTAGAAAAAGGGAGTGGTCAGCAGGTACAACTTCCTTAAATATATAATAAGTGTGTGTGTGTGTGTGTGTGTGTGTGTGTGTGTATTTATATAACTATCTACATTGATATGGCAATAGTATAATGTTGGGGAGAGCTAAGTGAGCAGGCTCTGGAGTTAGTAAGCATGAAGTCATATCCTATCTCTGCCTACTATAACCTGTATAGTTTTGAGCAGTATGTTTATATTTCTCTGTGCCTCAATTTTCTCATCTGTAAAGTAGATATGATAAATATCATGGGATTGTTGTGAAAATTAAATAAAATAATGTGTATAAAATGTCTACCTCAATGACTAGCATGTAAGGTACTCTGTGTTTGCTATTATAAATACTGTTGTTATTTTTATTGTTGTCATTTAAATTTGAAATTACCTTTGAACCTTATATATGTATATTATATGAAAATGACATAATAATTTTACATTTAGCCAGTCAGTCTGCAGGAAGCCAAATTACTGCTAAAAGAAGATGATGAATTAATTAAAGAAGTTTATGAATACTGGATTAAAAAGAGAAAAAACTGTCGAGGGCCATCTCTTATCCCATCAGTAAAACAAGAAAAGCGAGATGGTTCTAGCACAAATGATCCTTATGTGGCTTTTAGAAGACGAACTGAAAAAATGCAGACTCGAAAAGTAAGTGAGTTTGAGAAATTTTTTACGTGTTTTTGATGTAAGAAAAACTATTTATAGTTATGAATGTCTCAGTATCTGGAGGTTGTGTTTTAATTTGTGTTTAAATAGACTTTATATACAATATAATGAAAAATACTAATTTAAAATAACTTGGCCTTAAGATTCATTATGGAGATGTTGGTATATTTTAATCTTCATCCGTTTAAAATCGTTTACAAACTTGATTTCCTGGAGATCCATGCCCCCTTTCAATGTTTTAAAATTCTCTCTTAACCCTTCAAAAACATATACAGATATATATATATATATATATATATACATATATATATATATACATACACACACACACACACACACACACACACACACACACACACACACACACACTAGAGACCTGGCACTGGGGATAGGGCAGTGGTCCCTCAGCCCAGCCTGCACCCTCTCCAATCTGGGACCGCTTGGGGGATGTCCTAAACTGGCAGTCGGACGTCCCTCTCACAATCCAGGACTGCTGGCTCCCAACTGCTCGCCTGCCTGCCTGCCTGCCTGATCGACGCCTAACTGCTCCCCTCCCAGCCCAATTGCCCCTGACTGCCCTCCCCTGCAGGCCTGGTCGCCCCCAACTTCCCTCTCCTGTAGGCCTGGTCCCCCCAACTGCCCTCTCCTGTAGGCCTGGTCCCCCCAGCTGCCCTCCCCTGACGGCCTGGTCGCCCCCAACTGCCCTCCCCTGCAGACCTAGTCACCCCCAACTGCCCTCCCCTGCTGGCTATCTTGTGGAGGCCATCTTGTGCAAGGGCGTGGTGGTCAATTTGCATATTACCTCTTCATTATATAGGATCAGTAGCTATGTTCAGAATGCCAGTAGCTAGAACTGCTTATTGACATTAAATAAGGACCTTTATTTTTGCAGAATCGCAAAAACGATGAAGCCTCTTACGAAAAAATGCTTAAGCTGCGTCGAGATCTAAGTCGGGCTGTTACTATTCTAGAGATGATAAAAAGAAGAGAAAAGAGTAAAAGGGAGCTATTGCACTTAACACTGGAAATTATGGAAAAGAGGTAAAGTATATTTTAATAGCAGTAGGAAGTATGGTACTATAAGCATTTTGTATACTGAGTTAATTTATTTCCTAAGCAATTATCTGTTAGTCCAGAGATATCTTCTTTTAATAATAATTAGAGACTATTTAAATGTGTGCTATAATATCCTTTGTATAATTTTACATATATTCTTTTCTTTATTTTCTTTAAAAGTTATTGTATTCAGTAAAATTAAAATGTGCCAGGTATTTCCATTTTGAAATCTTTTTTTTTGTCCTTATGTGAGTGGGTACATGGCTATAAGAGAGATTATTTGTCATTTTAAACTTTTTATGTTATTTACTAGAATGTACTGATTTAAAAAAACATAAAGGAGAAAGGAAAAGGCCATAATCCTAACACTCAAATAACCATTCAACAAGATAAACAGTGAAAACTTTAAGCCTTACTCACCTGTTTCCTAGTGTCAATCCCCAAAGAAAACCACTGTTGAATTTCTTGTGATTCAGTTCAGAAAAATTAGTTTTGTATATAACACAGGCAGTTTAAATTAGCAGAAAGTTCTTAATCTTAGGCATTAACTTCAACATCTCTACCAAATCTTTTTTTTTCTTTTTTAATTAAATCTTTATTGTTCAGATTATTACAGTTGTTCCTCATTTTTCCCCCCATAGCTCCCCTCCACCCAGTACCCATCCACCCTCTGCCCTCAACCTCCCTCCCCCCCCACCACTGTCCTCATCCATAGGTGCACGATTTTTGTCCAGTCTCTTCCCGCATCCCCCACACCCCTTTCCCCCCCCAAGAATAGTCAGACCACTCCCTTTCTATGCCCCTGATTCTATGATAATCACCAGATTATTCTGTTCATCAGATTATTTATTCACTTGATTTTTAGATTCACTTGTTGATAGATGTGTATTTGTTGTTCATAATTTGTATCTTTACCTTTTTCTTCTTCTTCCTCTTCTTAAAGGATACCTTTCAGCATTTCATGTAATAGTGGTTTGGTGGTGATGAACTCCTTTAGCTTTTCCTTATCTGTGAAGCTCTTTATCTGACTTTCAATTCTGAATGATAGCTTTGCTGGATAAAGTAATCTTGGTTGTAGGTTCTTGGCATTCATTACTTTAAATATTTCTTGCCACTCCCTTCTGGCCTGCATAGTTTCTGTTGAGAAATCAGCTGACAGTCATATGGGTATTCCCTTGTAGGTAACTTACTATCTTTCTCTTGCTAATTTTAAGATTGTCTCTTTGTCTTTTGCTCTTGGCATTTTAATTATGATGTGTCTTGGTGTGGTCCTCTTTGGATTCCTTTTGTTTGGGGTTCTCTGCGCTTCCTGGACTTGTAAGTCTATTTCTTTCACCAGGTAGGGAAGTTTCCTGTCATTATTTCTTCAAATAGGTTTTCAATATCTTGCTATCTCTCTTCTTCTGGTACCCCTATAATTCGGATGTTGGTACGCTTGAAGCTGTCCCAGAGGCTCCTTACACTATCTTCTTATTTTTGGATTCTTTTTTCATTTTGCTTTTCAGGTTGGTTGTTTTTTGCTTCTTGGTATTTCAAATCTTTGACTTGATTCTTGCGATCCTCTAGTCTGCTGTTGGAACTCTGCATAATATCCTTTACTTCAGTCAGTGTATGCTTAATTTCTAGTTGGTCCTTTTTCATAACCTTGAGGGTCTCACTAGATTTCTTGAGGGCCTCACCAGTCTTTTTGAGGGTCTTACTAAATTTATCAGTGGTTTCTAGAAAGTTCTTGAAAAACCTTAAAAGTGTGGTTTTGAACTCTATATCCAGTCGTTTGCTTTCCTCCATTTCTGTCATTTGTGACCTGTTTCTTTGTCTCCGCATTTTTTATGCTTCCCTGTGTTGGTAGAGTGGCTTTGTGTGCTAGGTGTCCTATAGGGCCCAGTGGCTCAGCCTCCCCAATTACCTGAGGTGGACACTCTTGGTGCACCCCTTTGTGGGCTTTGTGCACAGTCTTGTTGTAGTTAAGCCTTGATTGTTGTAGGTATCACTAGGAGGAATTGACCTCCAGGCCAGTTGGCTGTGAGAGTCAGCTGTGTCTACGGTGGGAGAACTTCTGTGCTAAAGGCACCCTTATGAGGCTAGAGTTGCTTCAGTGGGGCTTTGGTGCTCACTGAGTCTGCCCCCTGAGAGTGTCCCTTATGGATCTGAGGAGTTGTAACTGGAAGGTCCCACTCTGACCACTGGGTACACTGGCTCTTGGATCTAAGGAGGTGCTAATTTAGCCTCTGCCTAAGGCTACCCAGCAGGAGCTACGAGGAGATCTGCAGATTCCCCTTCCTTGTTTGGGGTTTGGAGGTGCCCAAAGGAGCCCCAGCTGTGAAGCAATGCAAGCTGCTGTGGGGCCTTGGGCCTTCTCTTGGAAGTTCTGGGTCTGTCTGACCCAGCTGCAGTTTGTTAGGTAATTTTCAGATTGCAGAGGGCCAAGGCATTCATATGCAAAAGCCTCTGCTGCAGCTTGGGAGGGGCGGGGTCTCAGGGAATCAACAGGGCGGAGCAAACAGCTATGGCTGCTCCTCAGTCCTGCCCTAAGGGGTCCCACATCTCAGTGTCGCGGTAATCGCTGCACGCACCTTTGAGAGAAAGCCGCCCTCGAGTTCTGAGTTCTGCCTGCTGCCAGACAGTCCAGTTTCTCCCCGTATGAGTCTGGGTCCCCAGAGACTCACCTGGAACTGGAGTTCAGAGCAGTCGGGGGCTTGTGACTCCCTTCCGATTCAAAAAGACAGCCACGTCCTCAGTTGCCAGCCCTTGCGCGTGCGCCTCCGTACCTCTGCACTTCCGCACCTCCTCTGAGCCTCAGTGTGCTTTTCTCTTTCCTTCTAGTTATAGAATTTCCACTCAGCCAGCCTTCCTGTGGTTCTGGATGATGTCCATTTTGTCTTTTAGTTGTATTTTTAAATTTGTTGTGAGAGGCAGCAATTTCCGGTGTTTACCTATGCCACCATCTTGGTTTCTCAAACACTTCTACCAAATCTTTCACCAAAACTACTAAGTTAAAATTTGAACCTTTGTGCCCTGACCGGGTTGCTCAGTTAGTTGCAGCATCATCCTGATATGACAGGGTTGCAGATTCTATTCCTGGGCACATAGAAGAATCAATCAATGAATGCATAAATAAGTGGAACAACCAATAGATGTTTCTTTTTCTCTCTCTCTCTTTCTCTCTCTCCCCGCCCCCTTTCTTCCTTTCTCTCTTAAATCAATAAATAAAAATTTTAAAAAAATTTTGAGCTTTTGTGTTTTTTTACCCACAGTCTTCTATTTATGGTGCTAAGATAAAGTTATAAGCCAAAAAGTAAAAGGAAGAAACAAAAGGAATTATATAATCTCCCATGTTAATGAACATTCAGCAAATAAATCGAAGTTTAACTAATTTTACCAAGTCTCATCAATATTTATAATTATATCTCAGTTATTAATAGTCAGAATAATTACTCCAGAACTAACTTTTTAAACTTTATTTTTTATAATTTCAGGTATAATTTGGGTGACTACAATGGAGAGATTATGTCTGAGGTTATGGCACAGAGACAGCCAGTGAAACCTACTTATGCCATCCCCATCATCCCTATTACTAATAGCAGTCAATTTAAACACCAAGAAGCAGTGGATGTGAAGGAGTTTAAAGTTAATAAGGTGATACAAAGTTTTGTGCTTATAGTAGCTGATAATGGAGTGGTATTTTATCATTAAAATCAGAATGAAAAAGAAAACTATATCCTACCATGAAATATGCTACAAAGCCAACTTTTCATTCAAGACTGGCCTGTTGATAAAACAGTAGAGCTTGTAAATAATAATTAACTTTTTTCTAGAAACCGTAATACTCTAAACTGCATAAAATTTGACAAATATCTAGCATATTTGCATAACCATGGTACTTGCCATGATTTTTCTTGGCAACAAATGCCGTTTTTTGCCTATAATCTTTCTTTCCTTTTTCCTGCACATATTCATGCCTCTCCCAGTCTGCCATCCCTGCCAGACATATTTCTAACATGCCCTTTGTTCATCAGCTCAGTCACGCTTACCTGTGTATTTTACCCTGTGTTTTCCCTGTTTAATAATTTCATATCTTTATCCTTTAAAACTGCTCAAAATTCACCACTCCAGACTGACTTCATTATTTAGCTGGTAGTAATTCTTTACTACTCTTTATTTTCTTAACACCTTAGTATTATGGCTTTATTTTCCACTATGTTAACAGTAATCTGAAGTCTGCTCTGTGTATATGTAAATTTTTTTCATTATATTTTCCCCATATTGATTTGTTAATTTTTTAGGATAAAAACTAGATATCCCCCCTTTTTTAATTATCTTCTAGTATTTTTATAGGAAATTAAGAAAAAGAAACAGGAGCCAGCAGTAAATGCTAATTGCAGTTACAGGGTTTTAGAAGCTGGAGCGTTTTTATTCTTTTCCTTACTTTAATTGGAACAAAATACTTTATCAGATTGTGTTTAGGTTGTAGGAACATATTCATGTTTTCACAGAAATCAACCAAATTCTAAGACTTTACAATGTAAGATGACAAAACATAAGAGTCTTGTATCTTCCTGTGATTACGAATGCCTTCATTATAGTAGTAAACTTCTTTTAAAAACTTCCCCAAAACTGTGGGTTTGTTGAACATGGTTTTCTGTTGTTTGATTAACTCATAACTTTATTGCAGCAAGATAAAGCCGATCTTATCCGACCTAAACGTAAATATGAAAAGAAGCCCAAAGTCTTACCATCATCTGCTGCTGCTGCTCCTCAACAGACGAGCCCTGCTGCACTGCCAGTCTTTAATGCTAAAGATTTAAATCAGTATGATTTCCCCAGCTCAGATGAAGAACCTCTCTCCCAGGTAGATTTAAGAATTTTTCTATTAATATAGAGGAGAAATGTAGGAAATCACATGTTTTTGACTCATTGCATTTTACTTAAAGGTTTTGTCTGGTTCTTCGGAAGCTGAGGAAGAGAATGATCCTGATGGTCCATTTGCTTTCCATAGGAAAGCAGGCTGTCAGTACTATGCTGTAAGTTTCAGGCTTTCTTTTTAAATAACGAACTGTTTACCTTTAACTGACCAAATAAGAATTTTTTTTTTTTTTAAGCCTCACTTAGACCAGACTGGCAACTGGCCTTGGACTAGTCCTAAGGATGGAGGATTAGGAGATGTGCGATACAGATACTGCTTAACTACCCTCACCGTACCCCAAAGGTGTATTGGATTTGCACGAAGACGGGTTGGGCGCGGTGGAAGGTAAGGTATTTTGGTATTGTAAGCATAGAGACATTTTAGAAAGTAGGGTAGTTGAATTTAAAATTTCAAGTGAAGGTTAGGGTAGCTCATTTGTTCCCATTTGCTATTCTTGACTGATTTTTTGTTTGAAATACTTTGCCTTACTTCCTGGTTCTTATATAGCTTTTAATGCATGATACAGTTCTGAAAAAAGGTACCAGATAAAGGCAAGTGTAAGTTATGATTGCATAAATTGTATTAAGTTAAAGAAACTACAAACGTTTCAGGAATTCTGGAAAATAATGAAAAAAAAAGGATTAAATAGACTAAGAAGTGTCATATATAGTGTACAGAGTTGTTTAACTTGTCAGTGATAAGGCTCCAGGTTTCATGTATGACCTGATCTTGACATCCCAGATTGTCAGGATCTAATTGCTTTCTTTTCTTTGTTTAAACCTGATAGAATTCCAACATACTCTATGCCTTTGTATGAGAAGTTGTATGGGGGAAGGGAAGGAATTGCAGAATGCATAAAAGCAAAGAAAAAGAAAGCTTTCAAGTAAAATATGAAAAAAATTAAAAGGCAGAATAGCCAAAACCGGTTTGGCTCAGTGGATAGAGCGTCGGCCTGCGGACTGAAAGGTCCCAGGTTCGATTCCGGTCAAGGGCATGTACCTGGGTTGCGGGCACATCCCCAGTAGGAGATGTGCAGGAGGCAGCTGATCGATGTTTCTCTCTCATCGATGTTTCTAACTCTCTATCTCTCTCCTTTCCTCTCTGTAAAAAATCAATAAAATATATTTAAAAAAAAAAATAAAAAAAAAAATAAAAGGCAGAATAGATAAGATACTTTCAAGAAGAAGTTTAAGGATATGATTTATGTTAAATTAATGGCTTAGACATATGTTTATTTTATTTTTTTAGTTTTAGTTTGAAGTTCTTATCACTTAAACATTTCTTTAGAAGTATCCGGGCATCAAAACACATATTTTTTAATTTTATTAAAGCTATTGGGGTGACAATGTTAATAAATTATATTGGTTTCAAGTGTACATGTCTATCATACATCATGCTTTGTGTTTTCACCAACCAAAATTCAATCTCCTTCCATCTCCAAAATACATTTTATGTAGTACTTTTTCCCATATCATTACGTTGACATTAGTAGTTGTGAGAATTCTCTATTTTGGCTATATTTTATTCTATACTAGTATTGATTTGTGTTAACATTTTATGATAAGGTCATTTATAAAGTTTATATTAGTAACATCTCAAATATTTTATCCATTAGAAATTTTAATGGTATAACATATCCCAAAGATCACATATCCTTTAATGCTTTCCTCCTACCTCCTCTCCTCCCCCCCCCCCCCCCCAAAAAAAGGAATCTTTACTTAAATATGAGCACAAATATGTTAGCAACATTTTACAAAGTGTTCTGGTGCTTTGTAATGGAAGTGAAAATCTTTGGTTTGAAAGTAATTTGAAAAGAAAGGTATTTTCATATTTTACAAGTAACTTAAACTGATCAACCAACCCTTAGAGCTGTTACAACTCTTACTGTTATAAAATATTTACCTTATTCTTTGAGGTGGAGTACTCTCTTATTTAATCAGATCATTGCAATGTAAAAGAAAGAACCTTTATTAGATACTGAAATTATAGCCAAATATTGCAATAATCAAACTTAAATATTCAGTAGGAAATGGCTTTTTGGAGTTGGGGGAGAGAAAGAAAAACAATTTTTAAACAAACTTTGAATAGCTATTTTACATACATGTTTCCTGCCTTATTTTTAATAGGGTCTTACTGGACAGAGCTCACTCAGACTATGATAGTATGTTTCGCCATCTGGATTTGGAAATGCTTTCCTCACCACAACATTCTCCAGTCAATCAGTCTGCCATTACCTCAGAAACAAATACCTCGGACAAATCTTTCTCTAAAGACCTCAGTCAGATACTAGTCAATATCAAGTCATGTAGATGGCGGCATTTTAGGCCTCGGACACCATACCTACATGACAGTGACAATGATGAACTCTTCTGTAGAAAATTATATAGGAGTATAACTCGAACAGGAACAGCACAACCTGGGACCCAGACATGCAGTACCTCTACGCAAAGTAAAAGTAGCAGTGGTTCAGCACACTTTGGTATGTTTATTTGTTATAATGTCATTTCTATGGAAATGTCAGGCTTATCAATTTTTTGAATATGTGGCTTATTATATTACTGACTAAAAGTCCTTTTCTCAAAGTAGTTAAGAAAAAGAAAGACCTAGGTTTAAGTATTTATTTGAATCCTGTTTGTACAAATTATTTCATTTAAACAAAACCACATACAAAGGGGTGGTTTATTATTACAGGGTGGGACAAAAGTAGGTTTACAGTTGTTCATATGGAAAATAATATAATAATTAAATAATAATACATGGATAAACAAGTGTTTTGCATACCCACAACTGTACAGCTATTTTTCCCCCATCCTGTATTTAATGTATAAAATTTGTTTTCCTGGGAACCACAAGATTGAGCAATTATATTTTCAAAATAATATGAAAAAAAAGGACCATAAATTATTGCTCATTTCTTCAGTCTTTCACTTAGACTGCTTAAAAATAGACCAGCAAATTAAATTGATAGACATGCAAAGTTTTATCTGTCACAGTAATTCAGAGTAATTTGTAAGAGAAAAAGTAATTTTTCACAGAACAATATTTAAAAGATTATTTTAATAATTTCAGAAACATTTTTAGATATTTACTGTAGCATTATGGCTACTTTGTGAAATGTGTCTAAAATAAATGCTGTCTACTTAAAATATTTCTAAAAGTTTAGCTTTCTATTTGAAAGCAATAAATGTGTTTTTTGAGGCATGTAGATTATAGAAATCCACTGTTAACCTATTGTACGCCATAAGCGTCTGTAGACGCAAGCAGGGGGACTGCCACACACGCCAGGCGCGTCTATAAAAAAAAATGTTTTCCCTAAATGGCAGCCCTGACCAACTTTAAAATCATTTTTCGTGAGAATTTTCAGCTGAAAATATTCAAGAACACCAGAATTGTGAGTAATATATTTATTTTTATAATATTCATTGCAAATTGATTTTTTAAATTAAATTCAAAATATCGTGGCGTGTGGGGATGGTTTCCGTTTTGGATGTGTGGTAGTTAATTGGTTAAAATTATATAATTATATTACTCCAGATTTTTGTGAAGATAACTTAAATACAGTTTTAGAAAGGACTATAAAGATATTTATTCTGTTCCCCTAATTATGTGATAAGGCTACAGTAAAACCTTCTAATAAATATGAAAATGTGTTTATTCTTAAAGACCTCCAGAAAAGATTTCATAAATAATTTACTTTGTGGTTGGAAAAAAAGTAGTTCTATGAAATGGAAGTCTTTTCAGCTCATAAGAAAAATAATCTTTTCAGAAATTAACTAGAAGATAATCAAAATTTTCTGAGGTTTAACAGATTATCTATAATCCCATTCATTTCAGTCTATATTATGAAGAGTCAGTTTCTGCTTTTATAGTCTTAAACAGAATGGAGGACTTGTTTATACTGTGGGTGTAGAGATTCTAAATGTATAATAAACTTGTAATATGTTTCCCCTGATAAAGATTTTTAAGCTATGTAAAATTCTTTGACAGTTCTCATTGAAAATTGGCATATTCCATCAATCCCCATCTTTTCCACCTCTTAGAATAGAGAAGTTGAATTGTGTAACCATCCTTAGGTTCTTGTAGTGATCTTTTTAATGTAAATTGTTTTGCTATACAACTTAAGTAAGCATTGGTACTGTAAAACTTACTTGATTTGTGTTGGCCAAAGAATATTAAAAGGTGAACATTGAGCAGAAGTATTACCAAAAGTTTAGGTGAAAAAAATCTTCAGTAAATTCTAATTTTCTTTTTAATTATTTCCTTCCTTTATATATGTGATATGCCTTTTTTAAAATGGGTTTATCAGTTTTTTTCTGTTGCACATAATTATTTTTAGTTTTCCCTTCAATTTTACTAGAGCTTCCTTATGCTTGGAGAATAGATGCCTACAGATTGCTGTAGAGTATCACTTTTTTCTTTCATATATGTGAATATTCCAGAAACCTAAAGCTTTTCTCTTTATGCTCTGTAAAGTGCATTACAGTGGAGTTCCATCAAACATACTTTTAAGTGAATTCAACTATAGGCCCCTGGAGGAAAAAAAAAAAATTAGCAGTTCAAATGTTATACAGGATTCTGAATATAATTCTACTAAAAGAATGTATTTGCTGAAGTGGCCACTATGGGAATGGGAGAAGTGATCTTTATTTTCTCCTGATAGCATCAGTGCCTGCATTGATGCTTCATTCATGGGTTAATTATCTCACTTAAAGCAGTGTAATTATAGTTTTAAAGTTTTGTGGGGGGGGTTTTATATAACATGGCCCAGAGATGCTACTTCATCTGATACTCAACCACAGAAACTCAGATCTAGTCTGATGTCAGAAGAATAACTGTCTGTGTTGGACTTATTGAAAGAAATGGGTCTGATCACATGATGCACTCTCGAGGATTTTGTATGAGTTAACTTTGTACTTTACCAGCTTTCAAACTTACCATTATATGAGATATGAGTCAGTTGATACACTTAGCCAGCTGTTCAACCCAAATTGGTGGATTTTGATTTAGACATTTTTTATTATTCTGTCATTGTTTTTAAATGTTAACTAATGTGTGCTGTGGTGTAGTGATGCCCTCTGGACTGATTTTCCCTTTTCTAAATAATCATCTATAAGGGCTTAATTATTCTCGTTTTCAAATAGGAAATTCTAAATGAGGATATCAGGAGCCCATTATTTTTAGTAAAGGGAATGAGGTTTAGCACACTAACTTTTATAGTCTCTCTTTTAGTTACTCAGAATCTTTTTTGCTTCCCAATCTTGACCTTCTTGCATAGTTGTGTGGCCAAATGGATAATCTGGTTAGTCAGATGATACAGTGCTTTGTCCTTTGGATACTATACAGCAGAATGACATAATGTTGAGGGACTTAGGAAGGCTTACTATATGTGTATTTATAATTTTCAAGACTAGATTTTAGCACTTACAGATAAATTGCATTTTTAATCTTAATATGTGGTTTGAACGGTTTTCAATTTTTTTTTTTTTAACTGATAAAAGCAACTTTGAAATGTAGTCTTTGTTCAGTGACTAAGTATTATTTGTATATATTTGATTTTGGGAGATACCATATGTCAGTTAACACCTTTTATCATAACTAGAAAGGACTCTATATAATTCAAAAAGACTAAAAACAGAAAAGTGATTTTTAAACCACCATTTTATGTTCAGGATTTGAATTCCTAGCTCCCAGTGAAATTTCATCAGCAAACTAAATCGGTTTTCTAAGCTCACATTTCTGCACTAAAGACTTTATTTTCATAAGTGAAAAGGAAATTTGTAGCTAGAATATTATATTCTAAGTCTCAATATCTATAGTTTACTTAATGCAGTTTACTTGAGTTTGTAACATAAAATTTTAATTTTACTATAGAAAAGGAACTCTAGATTTGAGCACTGAATATTTTCTTGTTGGATTTTGTAAATCTACAAGACTTTAATCCTTATCTAAATGTGTTGCAAAATTCAGAATTGCATCCTCAACAATCTCAACTAGAACCCCTAGTAAAATACATTAACAGATGATCTACAGTTTTACAGATACACACAAGAGTAGTCATACTAAGCAGAATGTCTGACCATAAATAATTTCATGTTCAAGTCATTTGCAGCCAAATGAATTCAGGTTCAGTAATGTTTTGCCATTAAATGAGTTACCAAATTTCTGTTTTCAAATTGGATTTCTCTGTGGCTGATAAATGTTATAAACCTCAATCTAAACTTTATCAATTCAAGCTTACTGATTAGATGTTCATACTTTAATACTGTTTGGAGTCATTTCATTTTACATTTATTTCTTCAAAGTTAACTTTTTTCTTATATTAAAACTTCTTGCCTGTATGCTGCTCAAAGAAAGTGTAATTGAGGGATATCTTTTAAAATAAGTGTTTGGGTTTGTTAAGGATTTTTGTTGTTATTGTTGGTTTTTAACAAAATACACATTTTGGTAATCTAGACTCCATTTTCTCAAACTGAATTTTTAAATTATTTTTTTCCTAAGTACCTGTCACCCTCCCCACCTGCACTTAGATCATTTTAGTTGATCTGCTCCAGCTAGAGGAATGTGACCTAAAGGGCAGAACCCTGAGCTACCAGTTATTTCCTTGTATAAGAATTGGACTCGTAAAATCTTAGATTATTTCATTTAAATTCCTACCCCCAGACAGTTTCTGACCTCTGCCTCTAGTGAGGGCAAATTCAACAGCTTACTTAATCAGGTTATTGTACACTTGGGTGTCTTGCTTAGAAGTTTGTCCATATATTGAACAAAAGCTACCTCCTTAAATTTAAATATTCTGGTTCCTGTTTTGCCTTTGGAAGCACATGAATATGTTTTCTTGATCTCCAGCATCAAAGTGTCCTTCAAATATTTGAAGCCCTTTTGTGCCCCTTTATAATTCTCAGCTTTTAATTGTGTCCCTCACATCACTCTTCTTCACTGCCTAGACTCCTGTTTATTAGGTGCTGAATATACAAGATTTTTTAAATACTTGATTCACACTATCAGTACATAAAATTTGATTCTCTCATATAAATAATACTAAATCTAAAACAAACTTGCCTATATCTTTTCATATTGAAAATCTCATTGGTTTGGGGGTGGGTTTTTTCCCCGTCATCTAGTAAATATCTTTGTGACCTCGGCTGAAAGTCTCTTCATCTCTATTAGGAGGTTGTTGGAGTAAATCACTATAAGGATCCCTCCTAATTTAAAAATTTTTGGTTCTGTGAAATGATTTTGATGCTGTCTACAAAAGCATCTTGTCCATCTTTGTTTGAATTGCAAACTTTACCACACCATAATATTTGGAGGTTAGACATAAAACCTAAAAACTTTCTACCTTGATAGAGATTTAGGGAAATATAATTATTTTTATTTCCACTTAGCATTTGCTTGCACTTTGAATTATAATGATATCCAGGTGTTCTTGGTTTTCTGTATAAATAATAATGTAAAACCCAGTTCAGATTGTACTTGGCCCAGTTTACTACCTTACCAAGCTTTCCTTTCATTTACACAGCCTTTTGGATTGGAATTTTATGTCTCAGAAGAAATTTAAAATCTTAGCATTTCATGCCTAAAAAGGACTACAATCATCACCTATTTAATCTCTTCCATATTTTAGATGAACATACTGAGTCCCAAAAGGTTAAGTAACCTGCCTAGGTATACTCTACTAGTTATGATAGACCTGAGAACTAAAATAACAATCAAGATGTCTTGGCCCCCAGACTCATGGTTTTTACTACCATTGCTTCCAGCTCATACATTTTCTGTACAGTTTATCAAGATCATTTATCATAAATATCCAGAGAAAATTTTAGAACTAAACTCTAGAATATAGAAATATCTAAGAAATGGGCTAACAGTGATCTAAAATGTCAGTCAGGTGCATTGTTATTTCTAAATCTGTTCTCAGGAGGAAGTTAACAGTTGTTAAAAACTGAAAGTCACGAAACCCTCAGAGACCAAGCATTAAAATGTTGATTTAAATAGGGCAAAAATATTTGGAACCTTTATTCAAATCAACTTCCAATTATTGCTAAATTTTTTATTAAACCACACACAATCATATATATGTCTGTCTACTATACTGAACACTTGACATTAATAAAGATGAGAAAAAAATAGAGATTGAACTAAGGAAAAACACATACACAAATACTAGCAAAGATCAACAACAGAAAATTTCCATTTATATAAATGGAGTTTTGTATATATAGGTTTTTAGTGAATGCTAAAGTATTGATTTTCTAGGTCTGTACTGACCTGACCTTCCAGAATGGTTCCTTTTTTAAAAAACTTACTGAGCATTCCCTACTAAGGAAATTCAAGACTTATGCAATTCTTCAAATTTAGGAAATTAAAGTGTAAATCTCAAGAACATATTAGCAAAACTAATAATATTATATTAATTACAAACCAGAATAAATTTTTGTAGATTTTCTTCAAGTTCTGATTCAACACATTTCTGTTATATGAAAATGGCCGTGCTGACAGAAAGTTACTTTTTTATGTCAATATTCAGGGATTATCCTATTAGTAATAAAAATCTTCCCTGTAGGAATCAGATCTGAGGATTTCAAACACAGAAAAACTCATCAAAGAACAGATATCAATTAAATAGATTTATAACACAGAATTTAAAAATCAAAAGAAATTATTTTTTTGTTCTTGTTGCCCAGAAACTTAGTTCAACTCAAGTTTAAGAGCTGGTGTAGATACTAACTTCTTTCATGATTTTCTGATCCATTCAAAATATGGTAGAATTTCTACCTAAGCATGTTGTAGTTGTACAAGGTGGACACTGTATACTGGTAGATAAAGATTCTTCATGAGTTATGTGAAAACTACAAAACTTGATGAAGTGATAATCTAGATAAATCATCAAAACAACAACAAATTAGGTGGCCGTATTTTGAAAACATTCAAGTTGAGATTGAGGAAATTTGCATGATTTATTATAGATTCCCTGATACCCAGGGATGCATGATAACCCTTTTTTTGTTTTGTTTTGAAATAATTCTTACCTAAACATTGCAGGCTTCTTAAAGAAGCCTTTAAGGTCAGATGTTGTGATTGTATGTGCTTTTTTTTTTTTTTCCTTTTTTAATTGGCAAAATCAAAAAAAGATAAAAGGTTTCCTTTTTAAAAACTGAACACACTTTTTGGGGGGTAATAAATGAACATTTTTTTGTTTGTTTTTTTTAGAACTGAGCTCTCCATAGACAAACATAAGTAGCATAACACAGTGTCTTTCCTCAGACATCATTCTGTACAGTAAATCAACATAAACAACTCCGTTCTTATTGACTGGATTTTTTCCAGGTGGGTTATTTGAGTGGGGAAAATTAATTAACATATGGAGCCTCTTTTTTTCCTGTGTTAAACTTAAAGAATGGGTTCTTTAAAATAAAAAAGAAAGGTAATAAATCAACAACAACCTTATGTTTTATATAGAGGAAATATTTGTAATAACTAAAATTAGAAAATATGTAGAACAGTTATGTTAGGGATTGCTACCTGAATGCATTGGGACAGTAATATGAGTAAATTAGAAACCTAATGGTAATTATCAGATTTCTTCTCAAGCTCAGTGCAAAGTTGAATTTCAGATATGTGGATTTTTTAAAAAGCTGGTATTTCCATTTTACTCGAGTGTGGCAGCTTACAGAAATAATGGTTCTGCAACTTGGGAAGTGAGCAGTTCTCTTTCCTATGTTTAACTCAGGAAGTTTAATTTTGTTTTTCTTTAGATTCAACCCACTCTTGTGAAATGTGGTTGTAAGCTTAAATTTTCATTTGAAAGTCATCTTTAGCAGGACCATGAGCTTTTATCAAATGCTTTAATTTTGCACAAATTTTTTTTAATGCTGAAATTTTACTATTGTCAAAAGTATATGGTATTGTGCATTTTTATAAAGTGTTTCCTCATTTTATGTTCAGCATTTACAGCCGAACAATACCAGCAACATCAACAGCAACTGGCACTAATGCAGAAACAGCAGCTTGCACAAATTCAGCAACAGCAAGCAAATAGTAATTCCTCCACCAACACTTCACAGGTGAGGGATTTGTCTGTCTTATGATTATCCCTCATTGTTTCCCACCAGAGTTCATCTCTAATTACCAACTGTTGTCATAGAACCTTGCATCTAACCAGCAGAAAAGTGGCTTTCACCTGAATCTACATCATAGCCATTCTATACAGGGTTTAGAAAGAACATTACAGGTGAGTATAGAAGCTGTTGTCTCCGCTCCCTATTGTAAAAAGTAAAACTAAAAAGCATAGTTATATCAGATGGAGACCCTGTCTTTAAGTCTGACCTGTAGTCTGATATACGCCTTTAATATATAATCCCACTGACACCTAATTCATTATCTTGTTATTTTAATTATTATTACAATTTATTAAAAATTATTATACTTCTTTTAGAAGAAATAACTTTTAAACCTAAAGCCATTTGAACACATTTAAGGCTTAAAGGCTGAGATTTAAGTCTCTATGCATCTTGGAAGAAAAATTCATGTAAAAAATTCAAGGACCTCTTAATTCTAGGCTAAATTCTGATATGATATTTTGTTACTTCCATTCTAAAGGGATAGTTACCTTACTATCCCAAAGGTGTGTGTATGTGTGTATATATGGTAAGTTAGGTGAAAGAAGTTTACCTACATTTATTCATTGTATGTACTTGCAGATCACTGAAATGGTTTGCTAGCTTATTTCTTGTGCAACACTTTGTGTTGGAGGTTTATTTCCACATTATAGGGGGATGATTTTGGTAATTGACATGTCCATGTTATATATTGTCACATATAAAGATCAAAATTCATAATCCTTGAGTTATAAAATTACTAGAACATTCCTCAAATTTGACTGTCAAGGGAGAGAAAGATATTCGAGTGGTTTTCCACTTTTGTTTATATTCATACTGATTTTGCTATACCGGTGTAGCTTTAATATTAATTTGTAACTAAGTGATGCTGATTAGATTTGTTTTTTATTTTCTTTTTAGGGTTTTGTCTCCAAGACTTTGGATTCTGCTAGTGCTCAATTTGCTGCTTCTGCTTTGGTGACATCAGAACAACTGATGGGATTCAAGATGAAGGATGATGTGTTGCTTGGGATTGGGGTGAATGGCGTCCTTCCAGCCTCAGGTAAGGATAATGACATTTAAATGGTTTTGATAAGATTTGTAACACATACCTATAATAAACAGCCAAATTGCACATTGTTTAGATGCATCTCTCTTTTTCTCTAGGAGTATACAAGGGCTTACACCTCAGTAGTACTACACCAACAGCACCAGTACATATAAGTTCGTCAGCAGCAGGTTCAACTTTGTTACAGCCTTCAAACATTACACAGACTTCAAGTTCCCACAGTGCACTGAGTCATCCAGTAACTGCTGCCAATTCTGCAACAACTCAGGTTCTGATTGGGAACAACATTCGATTAACTGTACCTTCATCAGTTGCCACTGTAAACTCTATTGCCCCCATAAATGCACGACACATACCTAGGACTTTAAGTGCTGTTCCATCGTCTGCCTTAAAGCTGGCTGCCGCAGCAAACTGTCAAGTTTCCAAGGTCCCATCTTCATCCTCTGTAGATTCAGCCCCAAGGTGAGTACTTATTTTAATACTAAAGGATCTAACTTAAATTCTTAGGCATTGCTCTCTACTTATTTGTGGCTTTTGCTCTTTTCTTTATATACTTTAAAAATATGTAGATGAGAATTCCTTATTTATTCTAGAACTAAACAGATAAATGTAATTCAGTATTGTTGAAAATTTGTGCCAAATGGTACAGTGAATATTGCATTTGGAATTTGGGCATCATTTTCTTAGTATGATAACGGCTTATAATCTCACTCTTCTACCTCTGGATGGATGGGGTCCTCTTTTGAATGCTTCTTTGTCTATGATTTCTCCCACAGTTTTTTGTGTAGACAGAACTGATAGAACTCACATGGCTAGAGTGCTAAGCTGCTCTTAATAATGTAAATAAAGCTTACAGTATTCATGCCAGGTCAACTTTTAATGAAACCATCATTTTCTATGCTAACTTGTCTTCTTGGGTTTTCAATAGTTTAGAATGTTTGCTCAAGCTCTATTCTGCTTTAAATATTAATGGTAAAGTCCTGCCTTGTACAACGTACTGTGGAAAAACAAAAAGACAAGAAGTTTTCAGTTTAGGTGGAAGACAAGCATAAAAGTGTGAAAAGTTAAACAGTGTTGATTGTAAATAAGATGAAAATCATTCTAGAGGTATCACAAAGCATTATATGCTTATCAAATTAAATGTATAGATTATGGCTATAATTTCAATATTAGGAGACATCTTTTCACACCAGGAGTGTTCTGGGAATGTTCAACAAAATAAGATTAGATTTGATCTTGGTTAGTCAGAGAAAAGGAAGACAAGAGAGTTGGGGAAATATAAATGTGTTGATAGGTTAACAAGTAAACTAGTTTGTGGTTTGGGGAAGGTTAGTAGTTGAAGTTGGAGTGGTAGGAAAAGTCCAGACTGATTGTAGACTTTCTCAGCTGGCAGTGGCCTAGAAGGAGGATCAGGAGTTGTAGCAACAAACTGTAGCCTTGAGTTTCCAAATCTATGCATCCCTGTCTGCGTCTGAATTTAATAGTCCTTGTCTGCTCGATACTAATCTATTATTAGTATTCTGGGTCTAGTCACAGTTAATCAATTTAATCCTTAAATATGTAATACATGGTTTTCATCAGTGTAGAATTGTATAGCCATGTAATATTCAAAGTATATGGAAACCATATTTTTTTAAATCCTCACCCGAGATATGTTTTTATTGATTTTAGAGAGAGAGGAAAAGAGAGAAATATCAATCAGTTGCCTCCCATACATGCCCCAACCAGGGATCAAACCTGAAGCCTAGGTGTGTGCCCTGACCAGGAATCAAATCCACAACCTTTTGTTGCACTGGACAACACTTCAACCAACTAAGCCACCCGGCCAGAGGTGGAAAACTTTTTATAAAACTTATTTTAGTCCCTTTGTTTTGAAGATGAGGAAACTGAGATACAGAGACTTCTCTAGGCTCACTCAGCAGTCTAGGTGCTAGAACAACTATGGCCTTGCTCTTCGATGCCTCATTTAGTAGCTATCCTGCTCTACTCCATATGTAAAATCTTATGTAAAGTCCTAACATGAATGAACCTCAGCCACATATATATGTTCCTTATTTTAAAATTACAAAAGGTTCAGTAAAGGTGGAAATTGAAACAAAAAACTAAAACTTGGCAATTCTTTGTGTTTTTAAATCTAGGTTGGCTACTACAATTCTGTTGGTAATATCATGGAATTTATAAGCCTGACTTCTGGTTGTGTATTTCTGATAATAAGCTATAAAGGTTCCTATTCCTCTACTTGGCTATCTTTCCCAGGAGTCAAATTTCTTTCTATTATTAAAAATATTTGAACTTTTTATTGGGAAATAGTTTTGGTTTGTTCAATTTATATTTGCTAAATTTGTTGCAGAAAAGTAATTTATTGAACTTTATTTCAACAGGGAAAATCATGAATCAGAAAAGCCAGCGCTAAACAGCATAGCAGACAATACAGTAGCGATGGAGGTGACGTAGCTTTCTCAGGAGTGGGACTGCAACCTGGGGACTTGATTAGGTGCTATGCATCAGTAGCATTTTGAATGCAGGGGATGATGGAATGCCACACATGCATTTCTGTGGCAGCTGTGGGGACTTTACAGCAGTGCTCATCTCTCATGCTTCAATTTTTCTTTCCTTACTGTTAATAGGAAAAATCAACATCTGTAAATTAAGAATACAGCAATTATCTGTACAGTACTGCATATTTGTAATACCCTTGTATATATGTTACTTGAATACAGAAATGTTCATTTGTGATGCTTTGCACTTGGGGGTGGGAGGGTGGGAGGGAAATAAATTGCAACAAAGAGTGTGAGATGTGAGATTGTATAGAGATGAAGTGTCATCACATCATGTGCATGGTGCGGAACCTGCTGTTTTATCTATTTATTGTGCCGTGTTTACAGTTTTTTTGTACACTGTACCTTCATTGGTTCCTGTGCTGTAGTAAATGTGTTAGGTAGCTGTGGACTCCTTGGTATTTTGTAAATGGTATAACATAACTTGGTTCCCCGCTGGGTCCCTGAGTTTTTTCTGTATCATGTGAAAAAAAATGGTGACATACATACAGAATTTTACAAAAATAAAAAACGCATCAGTTTAAAAAAAGGGGGGGTGGATTTTAAATGGGGATCTTCCTGGTCTATCATTAGGATAAGTAACAAGCTAAAAATGAAGTCTCTTGAATCTTCCCATCCCCTCTTGCCCACAAAGCTGTGGGTAGTTTCTGGTACTTAAAGCACTAACGTTATGTTGCTGCTCTACAAACAGCCCAGTAGTCCCATTTCCTTCCACACCAAAAAGTGTTAAATCAAGTATGCAAATGGAGTCCTTACAACTGGAGTTTATGTTGTCTTGCCCTTTTTTTTTTTTTTTTTAGCACAAAAGAAATTGTACTTTTTTATTGTCAAATTGTTTAAAAGACTTCATTCTTTACTTGTTCTTACAAAAAGGATATAAGGGAGAAGAATGCAGTAATTACTATACGTGTATCATCATTCCAGTTTCTAAAAACAGCCAGCCAGCTTTTTTCCTTTCAAGTTTCTCCAGAAGGCTGCAAGGCCAGAACCACAAATATTGGGTGCCTTCCTTTGGAAATATTTGACCTCTCTTCTGTGAAGAGAATGGTACTTAACAGACTACTACCAGTGCTTTGTCAGTACCGAAGTCTGAATGCCCAGTCCAATGGCATATAATATCTTAAAGGTTTTTAATCCCACCTGGAAAAATTGTGATAGAATTCTCACAAAATAAACCCAGGGCATTACATGTTGACAAACTAATGTGAAGTGGTCTTTTGCTTTTATTTTCACCCCAAGAACTTTTGTGTGACTTTAATTAAAATCATTCAGTAAAGGGACATGGGAATGGGAGTGATGACTTAAGTTCATTTTTTCAACAATTATAAACTGAGTGATTACTCTGGGGTTATTTTCAGTTCAACAACAGTGAAAAATTCTTGCCCTCATGGAGTAGTTTATAATCTCATTAGGTGATTAAAAACAATAAGTAAGATTTAAATGGTATTACGGTAAGTATTAGAGGGGAAGTAATGCAAGGAAGGTAGGAGAAGCTGTGCCAGGATGGTGTGTATGATGGGCAAGGAAGGTGGTTCCATTTGATCAGAGACTTGAAGTTGGGAGGAAAGCATTGTAGGCAGAAAGAATAAGTACAAAGATGCTGAGATGGGAGTGCATGGTTTGCTAAAGGAATAGCATGCAGTGTGGCTATTGGAGCAGTAAAGAGTAGACAGGTCAGGGAGTAACCGGGAGCCTGCTTGTGGAGGGCTTGGTCAGGGATCTTAAGGACTTTGACTTTTCCTCCACTTCAGAAAGGAGTTTGGAGCAGAGGAGTGATGTGAACAGGCTCATTCTGGCTTTGGTATACAGAATAGACTGCAGGGAAGACTAGTTAGGAAGCAAATTGTAATAATCCAAGTGAGAGATAATAGTGACAAGGATGGCAGTGAAAAGTAGTTGGATTTTGTTTATATTTTAAAGGTTATTGACCCAGTAAACTTTTCTAAGAAACTGAATAGATGTGAGGAACATGAGAAAAAGAAGATTTAAGGATGATTGCATGGTATTTGGCCTGAGCAACTGGCCACAGTTGGAAAGCACTGTGGGAGGAGTGGGTTTGGGGGAAACTCAGTTTTGGGCTATCTGAAGTCTCCATTAGACATCTAACTAGAGCTGTCATGTAGGCAGTTGCATATAAAAGTCTGTTACTTAAAGGGAGAGGTCTGAGCTGGAATTCAAAACGTGAGTCATCTTCATAGATGATATTAAAAGTCATGAATCTGGGTGAGATCAAGAGTGGGATTAAATCTTGGTGTAATAAATATAGCTGTCATTGATTGGGAATTCCCTGTCTCAAAGGAACAGACTTAAAATTTGGGTAACTACTTTTGTGTATTCTGTTCTGTGTTCTTTAAGGAGAATATAGTGACTGATCAGTGTGACTAAAAATTTAAACTGCTGGTTTAAAGGTATTTAAATAATTAGAATTAAAATTTCTAAATGAAACCTAGCAGATAGAATGAGGCCTGGGCCCACAAAGTGCCTATATGCCTATGAATTGGGGAACAAGAAAATGAGTGCTCATCAAGCATACCCAGTCAGGAATTTGCAGAGTTGCATGGGTAGGGGTCGAAAAGTGGCAGATAGGCAAGTGATCAACATCCATGTAGCACTTACTCTCTTATTTGACCATACCAACTCCGAGATGCAGAGACAATACAAATGGCATCTTTCACATTTTAAAATAAGGAAATATACTCAAAACTGCATCTTTGGCTTCTAAATCCTTTGCTATTTTTCTATATATTCTACTACCAGTGTTGTAATAGCCTGAAGTGAAGGGCTTAATGCAAACATGCAATTTAAACACTAAACTATTAGGGAAAGGGACAAAGGTTTTCAAAGGAACTTTGACATCTCATCTAGTTAATAACTACCACTTAACTGTGTATTTACAATGTAATATCATATGCATAGTAATTATCTTGTTTAATCCTCACGATTACCCTTTTAAGCAGATATTAGGATTATCACTATATTGTAGGTGAGATTCACTCAAGGTTGGTTACAGTTATTGACAGTCCAGGATTTGAACTCATCAACCAAATTCCAAAGCTATAGCCGTTTGTATCCCCTACTTAGTGGGTAAGGTAGGTAAACCAGGAAACAGATTTCTAATATAACTTCTTAGTAACCTTTGTTCCTATTTTGTTCCTAAAGAAATTGGTACTGTTGAGTCTCTTACTCTGCTATTACTATGCTTTTGTTCATTTCATAAGTAGAAGCCCAAAAACCAATCAAACTAAACTTTACCCTAGGTAAATTTTGTTTTCCCAAAAGGATAGTGTTTTCTAAACTCCAAATTTAGGAGCTGTGTTTTCACGAGTATTATAAGAATGTAGAATATGGTGCAATTTTAATGTGTAATAAGTTACAGATGGGTAAGCAGGATTTCACATTCTTCACTAATATACTTACTAGAGCAGATCTGCTTTTGTCTATTTTACATAATGATGTTCTACATGAATTATTTCCCCAAAAAATGCTATTTTGATGTTTGAAAGTAACAGCAAAAGGAATTAATAGACAAATCACACCGATTCAAAAAAATATTAACTATGCCAGGCACTATTGTAGGTGTTGGAGACACAGCACAAACATTAAAATTAGAATTAACATTAAATGCCTAATGGAGTCATCTTGAGACTTTTACAATAAATGTAACATCCACCTTTGGAAATTAACTGTGGAATATGTTATTGCAAGAGCCAGACAAAAAAATTCAGTATTTTCCCACAAGGATATATTATGAACAAATTAGGTACAAAAGCCTCAAAAAAAAAGTTTCATATAGGCAAAATGTAAAACCATGCATTTTGCAAGAGAATCCAGTCTTAGAAAATGATCTGCCCCACTTTTGTAGTTTATAAAACAAAAGGGTTGGTCTGTAGATTATCAGTATTGTAGAGCATGAGTCTTTACTGAATACTTTCTGTCCACTTGTATTAGTTTACTATGGCTGTACTAATAAATTACCACAAATGATGGCTTAAAACAACAGAAATTTATTTTCTCACAGTTCTGAAGTTCAAAATAACTTTTAATGAGTTTCAATCAAGGTGTCAGCAGATCATGCTCTCATTGGAGGCTCTAGGGGGAGAATCTGTTTCTTATTTTTATTGCTAAAGTTTTACATATGTCTCCTTTTTCCACCAATTGACCACCACCACCCCCCTGCAACCATTCCCACCCCGGGTAAGTCCCCACCACCCCAGTGTCTGTGTCCATTGGTTATGCTAATATGCATGCATACAATTCCTTTGGTTTCTCTCTAACCACCACCCGCCCTCCCATTTGCCTCTGGATCTATTCTCTCTTTTTTTTTTTTTTTTTAATATATTTTATTGATTTTTTTACAGAGAGGAAGGGGGAGAGAGAGTTAGAAACATCGAAAATATTTTTTAAAAATATTTTTAAACTACAACAAAAGACTGCAGACCAGTGTGCCTCATTGATGAACATCAATAAATTTAAAAAACCTTTTTAAGTTTTTTTAGCAAATCAATTGCAATTAAATATATAAAGAGTCCTACATATGACCAAGTAGAAATCACCCCAAAAATAACTGTGGCATGTCTGGGTGACTAATGCCTTAGTGACATTGTAGGGCACTGTACCCCATGCTTCTAAGAGGATGTCAGCAGAGCTCAGATTGAGCCAGAGCTGTAGGGACTGCATTAGATGAGGAACACAGTTATGTATAAACACCAAGGATCAAATGGGGCAATGTATACCCTAGTATGTGCCAATGTGTGATTAGATAACAATTGAAGCCCAGGAAGCTCTGGTTCAAATTCTGGGTATACCACTAACTAGCTTTTATACTTTTTTAATGAATTACTTAACCTTTCTAAACTTTAGTGTCTTTATCTGTAAAGTGAGGAAAGTAATAGACCTCCATTGTTGGGAGAATTAAATGAGATCATGCAAATACAGTAGTCACTCAGGCCAATGTTAAAAAATAAAAAAAGAGAAAGACTACCTTATAGTGCTTTCCTGAAAAAGGACTGAATTTTGTACTGTCAAGATAATGCAGTCAGGTGGGGACCAGGAAAATAATGTACTACTTAATACTTGTTCTGGTTTTTTGTTTGTCAAATAAGTGGACATACTCATTTCTTGCTCTTCCTATTATTATGAGAAACTAAGCAAGTTTCTCATTCACTGTGGCCCAATT